TCTATTCCTCTGTGGGCTTCCAATGGGATATTTTTCTTGTTCCAGTTCAGCATTTGAATCAGTCTTCCATGTGCCAGCAGCATGGTTCATTTCCTCATGCGCGTCTCTCTTGCGATCACCACCTGGAGCTGATTGTGATAAAACTTGATTCCCATGACTTTTCAGATTATTACCCCCATCTGTCGACATAGACTCACTAAAGTTCCAACCATTTAACATATTGAAGGGCTGGCCATCACTACTATGTGATGAAATGCTTTGTTGACGGTTCCAAGAACCTGAAATGCTATTTGCATTTATTTCTGCGCCTGATGAATGACTAGTATTTCCATAATTATGACTACCTTCTGCAGATAAATTTTGTACAGGACTGCGATCCAACCATTTACTTCCTTGTTCAGGATTCTGTTGAATAAATCTCTGAGAAGAATCATTCCGAAAGACCTCACCTCGTTCATGCAAAGTTTTAGGCCCTGATTGCTGAAATCCCTGCACACTAGAAAAAGTACTACTTGTATTGGGCCTATGGACATCAGCAGAGTGTGGGAAAGGCCTATAATTCAAGTCAGAGGAAGAGTGCAAGTTGTTACTAGCCCAACCAGACTGTTGTTTGCTGGTATCACCAACACTTGAGGGCTGCTGATTCCCAGTTGGAGGTTCTTGATTTCGAAAACTCGGAGGCCACTCTTCCTGTAGCCCTATATCAGCACTAGAAGTTTCTGCTACTGCAGATTGCATAAGAGCACTCCAAGTCCCACTTTGTACAGAAGGAAGTCCTCCAAAAATGTCCGTACCATCCAACACATTAGAACCTCCCATTCCAACATTTGTGCTCCTGCCAAAGGCCTCCCATAGATTGTCATCTGAACCAAACAAAATCTTTTCTTCGGTTGGATCTAGTGTAGCCACACTCTGCGAGGGTGCAACCTGTATGACTGCTTTCTCTTGTGATGTTTCTGACAATCCAACTAGCTGTTGCCTCCCTTGGAATTCCTCCATGGGTTCATTTCTTTGCTGAGGATTTACTTGATTCAAGTTTTCCAATTTAAACCCACTATTCAAGCCTTCAGCAGCAGTAGGCCCAAACGTACTTCTCCCTTGAAAATCCTGTCTAGAAACCAGGGATTCTTCTTGCATGCTAACCTGATCCGAAAATGCAGCATATTGACTACCTGGAAAGGAATTATTACGTGCCGACATCTGCTGTATTGCCGACTTGTCCATTTGAACATGAGGATATGAACCAGGTGAGCCACTTGTGCTAGTAATTGGAACCCCATATAGAGATTGATCAGCCTGTTGAGGAACAAAACCCATCAACTGTAATGTGTGGGCTTGTTCAGGGGACAATACATGTCCACTAGATGCCCCCTGCATAACAGGAGAAGCACCACGCTGCAGCCAGTTTGTGTTACCTGCCACAAGATCAGGTGGCCATTGATTGTTAGATGCCTCGTTGATCGGAACACCATTGATTAGAGCTGGTGAGTGGTTACCAGCAGCCTGTCTTGTAATGGAGGAAGCCTGATTTGCAAGAACCTGTTGCCTTTCTAGTTGCTGAAGTTGTTGCTGCCTTTGAAATTCTTGAATTTGTGTGAGCATAACCTGTCGCTGTAATTGCTGCATGTCACCAATCCCTGACTGCTGCCTTGGCAAAGACTGCATCATGCTGGGATGTGGACCAGTCATTTGCTGTTGACCACCAAAAAAATCAAAACCAACGGGGGATTCCGAAGTTTCCATTCTCATTAAATTTTTTTTATGCTCAGGGCCACTTCCTCTCTGTGATTCAAGCATGGACAATCCTCTAGATGTTAAATTTTGCCGATCAGATTCTGCATCCACTCCCAAAAAGTTAGCTTCATTCTGCCTTGTCTGAAACATCTGGTTCCCATGCACATAGCCATTAGGAGTTGGCTGTTGATTTTGAGACTGAACTCTGCCAGACTCAGGCCTCTGATTTGAGTGAATAAAATCCAAACCATGAGGCACATGCAAAGACTGACTCCCATGTCCTCTCTCAGAATCTGCTACTAATAAAGGAAGAGAGATGTTTAGAAACAGGTAATGGCTCCTCAAACACAAGAAAAACCATCTGCACCCCAAAAAAAAAGAAAAAAAAAGAAACGATAAATTAGAAATAAACTAATCAAGAGGTTAAAATAATCCTACCTGACTGCTGTACATTATAATTCTTTAAACTTGAATTAACTGCAGTTCCAATTTGTCTCTGACTCCCGGCCCACAGGTTGTTACTTAGACCCGGCCAGTTCCCATCAACCTGTGGATGATGCTGACCCTGTGACAAGTTCTCTTGCCCGAAGAAATTGTGGACCCTGTCTCCAACTTCGTTTCTAGGCATAGATAATCCAGCCACAACTTTGCAGCAGAAATTTTTTGGAGAAAGAAACTACCTAAGGAAAATATGAATAGAGTTCAGAGCTACCATATTCCTATGATTCTAAGAAACCATACAATCATACAAAATGTGACCAAACAAAATCACATTCAGAAACACACCTTGTTCCAGTATAATTTAGTGTTGCTCCAACTGCCATGTTCTCCACCTAAACTTATCCTGAATATAACCGTGTAAGGTGTTGTTAGGGACATAGCCATTAGATCATGTATTAGAGACATAATGACAGCAATCAATCTGGTATAGGCATCCAGATAATTCCTGTTATCCACGTCCAGACTATTGATGACAATCCAGAAACAACTCGGAGATAAAATCTGCCAAAAATATGCACCGACTGAAACAGATAAAACTGATATGCAGTAAAGAGAAAACCTAGAGAACATATCTTCCTTCAAAAATTGCTTGTGGCATAAGAAATTGCCTCTAATTCCAACTAAATTACGGTTATGCACAATGTGACCTATATGAAATCAACTTTATCCTTTATTTGTCCTATTGATTTGAGGTTGTGGCACAACTTTACCCTTAAAATTCCTGCTATTCCTTTCAACCCAAAAGCACAACATTTCTCAATGAAAAAAGAAGCATAGACAGAAGGAATCACCGAGCATAAACAACATTTCTCAAGGAATCACCCTATTGCCACTTGAGAAAGTTGTCTAATGACCTCAAAGCAATAGGGTAATTAAGGGAAAGGTTATCAGTGCTTTTATCCCCATCTTCACATAAGTTGCATCATTTAATAGAAAACAGCGATTTTATTTATTGAAGAGAGAGAGAGAGAGAGAGAGATTAGAAAACAGGATGGACAAGAAATCCATCAGGAACACAGCAGAAACCCAAAAAACGAGCCCTTCCAACCTCCAGAAATTTAGAAGAAAGTCAAACACACAAATCAAACTAATCTTTACTCAAATAAAGGATTTCAGGGAGGCATGTCCCACAGCCTCAGCCTCAAATCCAGAAAGAATACATACCTCCACATGGACCCTATTATTGTGTTTGTCAAATTTCTAACTCTGAAAAAAAAATCACTTGGGGATAACAGATTGAGTGGTTAAACCAATAAAAGTACCAGGACCTCGCTCAAAGATATGAAAAAAATGAAGTAAGGTGTACTCGTGGTTTTCTCATTGCATACACTATATATGCCTGCAATATATAGACTCTTTTCAATATCCCCTAGTATCATGTCCATGTAATTCATTATTGAGAAAACTCAGCTTCAATTCCAAGATGGGTTTCATATGGTCTGCTCATTACATTACACTTGTCATTATAACAAATCACACAGCACCACTGTACGTCAATTAAGTTCACACACGCATGTAAATTTAATGGTGGGAAAATGCGTACATCAAAAAGGAAATGGACTACTGCCAGAAATAATTTCAACCCTATATGTAAATAACAAAAGGTGCAATTATCCAATGATAACATATTTAAGGCATTAAATAAAATTAGACATTCTTCAAAGCAACAATAATCATAAACAAACCAAAAGGAACATACAATCGACAGGGTTCCTGCACTCTTGAGTGCCTCACTCAAAAAAAATGGTCAAGTGGGGTTAAACCAACGCCTCCGTATCGAATCAAACTGGAGGAAATCAGATATGTGAAATTTATGAACACAGCCCAAATCTGACATAATAGCCATTTCCTCCAATTGTATGCAGTAGGAAAAAAATGAAAAGGTTTTTTCATCATTTAGAACCCCCATGAAATGAAACCACACTAAACTAAGCCTGTGGAGAGGTTTCAATTTTGAAACTCAAAACTAACAGATACTCTTAAAATATCATTGCTAATTGTTTCCTTTTGTCGTCATTTTCTGAGCAACCAAATGAATGCTAAAGCCGCATTTATAGCTAAAACATATGAGATCGAAATCAGAACACTGAAATTTTAACTGTATAAGCTTTAAAAGAGCTGCCCAGCAATAAAATGCCAAAACCCTAGCGCAGATTTGCATCCCTAACAAAAATGGTTCGTATGGACAGAAAATTAGGGTTTCTCGGAGATAAAAATGGATGGGAAACTCACAGTGACGCTGAGAGGCCCCCATTGAAGCTCGAAACTGATCCCCTGAGACTGTCAGATTGCGAAGCGTTAGGGTTTGAATCGGAGAGAGAAATGTATCTTTGAGCTCGGATAGAGAGAGAGAGAGAGAGAGAGAGAGAGAGAGAGAGATAGAAAGTGATCGAAATAGTGCGAAATTTTCAACGAACTGTGGAACAAAACTGAGGTTCGGGACGAAGCTAAGGTTCGTAGGTCTCAGCTGGGTGGCTTTGATCCGAAGCTGAGGTGGGGAAGGGAGGCGTTTTACGAAGGCCTTGGCCCTCGGGTGGGTTTCTGAAGAGTTGTTGAGGGTGAGCGTTAGGTAGTCCTGCAATTAAATTATGCCATGTGGCATCTTGGTCTGTGGAGCCCGCACGAAATTTCTCTTATAAAATATGAGAATTTGAAAAATCAGCCAAAAGGAAAAATAAAATAAATTTTCCACGAAATTTGAAACAATATCTAATTCCTAATTACCAAAAAAATTATCATTGGCTTCACCGAAAAAGAGAAATTATATGGCGTGCAGGACCTACTCCTTCCATCTGTCTACAATTGTGAGACGAAGAAGGAATAAGTTGGAAGGGTTACATAATGATTTTGGGGATTGGATTACTGAGAAACAGAGCATGAAACATATTATTGTTAAGTATTTTCAAGGGTTGTTTAGTGCTTCTGATATGGTGGGTGACTATGCTTTGCTTCCTCAGTTGTTTCCTAGTCTTGAAGGGGATGAGCTTGAAGGTCTAAGTTGTCCTGTTTCTATTGAAGAGATCAAGAATAGTGTGTTTGTTATTGGTAGATTTAAGACCCCAGGACCTGATGGTTTCCCAGCTCTGTTCTACCAGGATTATTGGGGGGTTTGCTCTGATGATATCATCTCCTTTGTACAGGATTGCTTTAATACTGCCTCCCTTCCGGATCATTTAAATGAGACTCTAATTTCTTTGGTGCCTAAAGTGGAGAGGCCTATGTGTATGAATCAGCTTAGGCCTATTAGTCTTTGCAATACTCTTTATAAAGTGCTCTCTAAAATCCTGGTGGCTAGGCTTAGGCCGTGTATGACTAAGCTTGTTAGCCCTAGTCAAGTTAGTTTTGTCCCAGGAAGACAAATTACAGATAACATTATTGTTGCTCAAGAAGTGCTCCACAAATTTAAATCTGCCAAAGGGAAGAAGGGTTTTATAGCTTGGAAAATTGATTTATCCAAAGCTTGTGATCGTATGCAATGGCCTTTTATTAGGGAGGTGCTTTGGGAAGCAGGCATTAAAGGAAGCATTTTGGAGTTGCTCATGCAGTGTATCACTTCGGTGCAGTACAAGGCCATTCTTAATGGGGAGCTAACTGACTCGTTCTCTCCTCAGTGTGGTATTAGGCAGGGGGACCCTCTCTCCCCTTATATCTTTGTATTGTGTATGGAAAAACTCTCTCATCTCATTCAGCAAAAGATTCAACATAGAGCTTGGAAATCTGTTCAGATTTGTCAAGGAGGTCCTCATATTTCCCATTTATTCTTTGCTGATGATTTAATCCTTTTTGGGGAAGCTACTATTGATCAAGCTTGGTTGATGAAACAGTGTTTGGATGATTTTTGTCAGTTGTCTGGTCAGCGAGTTAGCTTTGAAAAGTCTATGATATTTGTCTCCCCAAATACAAACTCTGAGTTGGCTAATGCAATTGCTGCAATTAGTGGTTCTCCTCTTACTGCTAGCCTTGGTAAGTACCTTGGTGTCCCTCTTATTCATACTAGAGTGAATAAACAAACGTATCAAGAGGTTATTGCTAAAGTTCAGATGAGATTAGCTTCTTGGAAGAGCCATACGTTATCTATGGCAGGTAGAATTACTTTGCTTCAATCTGTTACTGCTGCAATTCCTATCTATACTATGCAAACTGCCAAGTTGCCTATGTCTGTTTGTGATAAATTGGACCAGCTCAATAGAAATTTTCTCTGGGGGCATACCAGTAATACTTCTAAAATCCACCTTGTCAATTGGGAGCAAGTGTGTAAACCTAAGATTGCTAGTGGATTAGGCATCAAAAGATCTTCTTGGATGAACCAAGCTCTTTTGGCTAAAACTGGATGGAGACTTCTTCAACATGAGCAAGGTTTGTGGTCTCAGGTCTTCCATGCTAAGTATTTAAAACAGCAGAACATTTTAGCTGTGAAGGACTCTTATTTTCCTTGTAGCTCTAGTGTCTGGAGGGGTGTGTTATATGGTAATTCTGCCCTTTCCAAAGGTATTAAGTGGAGAGTAGGTTCCGGGGATAATGTCTTATTTTGGACTGATAGGTGGTTGAGTTGTGGGCCTTTGTATCAATATGCTATCATTGATCTCTCTGAGGAAATGCTTAAGTTGAATGTTGGTGATTTTTTGGAGGAGGGGGTCTGGGACGTTAACTGTTTAAGGGAATGTCTTCCTCTTCATATTATTCATTTAATTTTAAGTGTGCATGCTGGTTTTAATGGCAGTGGGACTGATAGATATATTTGGCAGTTTACGCCTAATGGTTCTTTCTCGGTAAATTCAGCTTATAGCTCTTTGTTTCCTGCTGAGGCTTCAGTTAAATGGGACTGGCAATTTCTTTGGAGGTTGCGGCTCCCTCCTAAGGTTAAAACTTTTCTTTGGATTGTTTGTCACCAAAAGTTGCTTACTAATGTGCAAAGGCAGAAGAGAGGCCTCACTCAGGTTCCTACTTGCCCTAGATGTGATTATCCTATGGAAACTATTGCTCACCTGTTTAAGGATTGTCCTTTCTCTTTGGCTATTTGGAATTGTCTTCAAATTGGAGATAATTCTAGCCCTGACTTGATGGAGTTTAAAGAGTGGCTATTAAGGAATCTGCAGTCTAAAAGAATGGTTTATAATGGGTTGCCTTGGCCTCTGGTCTTTGCGCTTTATTTGTGGTTTATCTGGAAATGGAGATGTAAAGGAATTTTCGATCAAAGGTTTGTTATGTCTGCTGACCCACAACAATTAATTCTTCAGTATGCTTGGGAGTGGTTTAATGCTAACAAACCTCCTTCCCCTTCTTATATGCCATCTGTTGTTCAACTTCATTGGATAGCCCCTACTCATGGAGTTTGTAAGATTAACACAGATGGAAGTCGTAATAGTGATTCTGGGTCTATTGGTGCTGGTGGTCTCTTAAGAGATAATTATGGTGCTTGGATTAAGGGCTTCTCTGTGAACTTGGGTGTTGGCTCTGTTCTTGAAGCTGAGTTGTGGGGCATTTTTTGGGGGCTTCATTTGGCTTGGGAGTCTGGCTTTCGTTTTGTGGAGGTGGAAAGTGACTCATGTGTGGCTGTGGCTCTCCTTTCAAGCTCTACTATTTCCACTCACCCCCTGTTTAGCCTTATTAGTTGTTGCAAGTTAAAGGTGCAAGCTGGTTGGAAATGTTCAGTTAAGCATATTTTCAGAGAGCAGAATGTGGCAGCTGATGTCTTGGCTTCTAAGAGTTCTGTGTTTGGCTCTGGGGTGCTTTATTTTACTGAGGTGCCTGATTTTCTTGTGACTTGTTTGGCTGAGGATGCTATTGGGGTGTCCAGATCCCGTGTGGTTGGTGCTTAGTCTGTTTGTTCTGGGCTCTTAGCCCCTCTTAAAAAAAAAAAAGAAAATTATTATTGGCCAAAGATTTTAAACGAATTTTAAAATTTATATTTTATATATATATATAGTCCCCTTCTATTGAGGGACGTCCTTTAGGTTATTCTACAATTTTTTTCCCAATAATCCAAACCATCTATTTTTTAGGTTTTCATTCATAGATCATCCTTACAAAAAATTAGACAAATCAGAAACTGTTTCGACATCCAATTGTGTCTTACAAAATCAATGAACACGGTACTTCAAGAAAATACTAAAATTTGAATAACTCAAATGAGTGGTCAAATGATATCGGATTCAAGTAATTTTTTGTAGAGATGATCTTTGAATGAGTATCTACAAAATAGACGGTTTGGATTAATGAAATACAATCCAGAGTGGGCCCTACAAGGAGTGTCCCTCAAATAAGTTTATTTGAGGGATCCCTTAATAGAAGCTCTATGTATATATATCACCCTTGACTTAAGGTTGTCAATAGGTTATGTCGTGTCACTGTCAAACCTAACCCATTTCATAAACACGTCATGTCAAGAGTCATGTTAAACATGTTATTAAACAAATAACGTGTCACATGTTTTAGAGGAGGCTAAATTCAAAATGTATATTAGAATTAGAATGAGGAGAAGGACTAGGCTAAGGGTTTTTATTTGGGTGGCTTAAAATGCGCTACCCCATGTGCACGGTGGAATAGAATAGAACATGCCTATATTAAAAATTTAATAGTAACATTGACCAATCTCAGCAAAGTTTGTAAGTGGCGATGTTCCTGCTGAAAAAAGAGGCAGCAATACTGTTGCTGTGAAGAGGTAGTGATTTTTTGTAAGTTTTTTTACTTTTTTATTTTTATGTTTGATAGTGTAAATATGCTTGATTAACGATTTTTAATGATGACAATCATACTTATTTAACACTCTAAATAGTCTAACCATGATTTTATTGACATAATAACGACAATGTTTATGTCATAGTTTACGTGCAATTAATAATAATGAAACATTTGATATTGAACATAATATGTAAAACACTCACAGTGATCTCATCCATAAGGTTTTTTCTCTTGTCTTGAAGAACTTCACTCCAATAAGCATGATTCATCAAACATATTTTTCAAATAATGGTCCTAAGATCACGAGATAATAAACTAGTTTTCTACTCATTAACAAGTTTATAACATATTGTATGAAAAACAACCTTAATCATCAACATCGATGTTGCTGCGGAAAATGAGTTAGCGATGTTGCTACTGAAAATAAGGCAACGATGAAAAGTAATATCGGCTTTAATAATGGCTCTGTTAATTGGTATTGGCTACGAGGTCTATAACTCGGGCTAAATGGGCCAACTGCTTCCATAAATCTTTTGAAGTTATGATTATCGATCGCATGAAAAGGAATATCAACTTCATACACCAATTGAGCCAAATATTCATTTGTTTTTTTTATTGAAAAAGGCATCATGAGTATTTTGTTATCGCATCCTCTTGTTTGCATCCATTGAATAATAAGAATTGATATGTGATGCAAACTTATCTATGATCCAAGAAACTACCGTTTTTTTCTTGACCCTACAACTTCAATGTCTTCCACTTCTTCTTCAATTTGTTGAAACTCGACTTCTTCCCTCACTTCCCTTATGTGTCTACTATTTTCTCTCTTCTTATGTTTTTCACCTTCTAAGGCGGCTTTACATTTGCCCTTATCCTCATCCGAATACCTTAGGCACTGGGCTACATTTCCCTCTATGTGGGATACGTACTTATTTAAGACTCTAAACCGCCTAGGAGGTCCATAACCCGAGCCGAATAGGCCAACCGCTTCCATAAATCTTTTAAAGTTATCATTATCGATCGCATGAAAAGGAATACCAACTTCATACACCAATTAAGCCAAATATTCATTTGTTTTTTTATTGAAAAATGCATCATGAGTATTTGTTATGGCATCCTCTTGTTTGCATCCATTGAATAATAAGAATTGATATGTGATGCAAACTTATATATGACCCAAGAAACTACGGTTTTTTTCTTAACCCTACAAATTCAATGTCTTCCATTTCTTATTCAATTTGTTGAAACTCTACTTATTCCCTCACTTCCCCTATGTGTCTACTATTTTGTCTCTTCTTATGTTTTTCACCTTCTAATGCGGCTTTACATTTAGCCTTATCCTCATAAATTTTGCTACTGAAAATAAGGCAACAATAAAAAGTAATATCGGCTTTAATAATGGCTCCATTAATTGGTATTGGCTACGAGGTCTGTAACTCGGCTAAATAGGCCAACTGCTTTCATAAATCTTTTGAAGTTATGATTATCGATCGCATGAAAAGGAATACCAACTTCATACACTAATCGAGCCAAATATTCATTTGTTTTTTTTATTGAAAAAGGTATCATGAGTATTTTGTTATCGCATCCTCTTGTTTGCATCCATTGAATAATAAGAATTGATATGTGATGCAAACTTATCTATGACCCAAGAAACTACAGTTTTTTTCTTGACCCTACAACTTCATTGTGAGGGAAGCCGCATTTATAGCTAAAACATATGTGATGCAAATTGATATTGTATGAAGAAGAAAAAAACCTTAATCATCAATATTAATGTTGCTGCAAAAAATGAGGCAGCGACATTGCTATTGAAAATGAGGTAAAGATGAAAAGGATTATCGGTTTCAATAATGGCTTCATTCATTGGTATTGGCTTCGAGATCGGTAACCCGAGCTAAATAGGCCAACCGCTTCCATAAATCTTTTGAAGTTATCATAATCGATCACATGAAAATGAATACCAACTTCATACACCAATCGAGTCAAATATTGATGTACTTCATGTGTTTTTTGCTTGAAAATGCTATCATGGATATTTTATTGTCACGTCCTCTTGCTTGCATCCATTAATGAATTATGATTGATACATGATGCAAATTTATCCATATGGCCAAGAAAGTACGGCTTTTTCCTTGACCATACAACTTCAATGTCTTCACATTCTTATTCAATTTTTGGAAGCTCTACTTCTTCCCTCACTTCCCCTCTGTATCTACTCTTTTGTCTCTTCCTATTCGAAAACCCAAAATCCCAAAATTCAAAAATCATGCCTCCTCCTTTGTCCGAAGGCAACAATATTGCTACTGTAAAAGATGTAGTGATTTTTTATAAGTTTTTGAACTTTTTATTATTATTATGTTTAATAGTATAAGTATGTTTGATTAACGATTTTAAGCATGACAATCATAGTTATTTAAGACTTCAAACCACCTAGCTATGATTTTGTTGACATAATGATGATAATCATGCTTATTTAAGTTTATATCATAGTTGACGTGCAATTAATAATAATGAAACATTGGATATTTAACATAATACCTGACACACTCACAATGATTTCATCCATAAGGTTATTTTTCTTGACTTCAAGAACGTCATTCCAATAAGCATGATCCATCGAACATATTTCCCGAATAATGGCCCCGAGACCATGAGATAATAAACTAGCTTCCTCATTAACATGTTTACAACGTATTGTATGAAAAACAACCTTAATCATCAGTATCGATGTTGCTGCAAAAAATGAGGCAGCAATGTTGCTATTGAAAATGAGGCAACGATGAAAAAGATTATCGGCTTCAATAATTGCTTCATTAATTGGTATTGGCTTCCAGGTCGATAACCTGTGCCAAATAGGCCAACTACTTTCATAAATCTTTTGAAGCTATAATTATGGATAACATGAAAAGTAATACCAACTTACACACCCATCGAGCCAAATTTTGAAAAGGTCATCATGGATATTTTGTTGTCGCATCCTCTTGCTTTCATCCATTGAAGAATCATGATTGATAGAGGATGCAAATTTATCTATATGCCTAAGAAAGTATGGTTTTTTCCTTGACCATACAACTTCAATCTCTTTACATTCTTATTCAATTTTTTGAAGCTCCACTTCTTCCCTCACTTCCCCTTTGTGTCTACTCTTTTATCTCTTCTTATTCGAAAATCCAAAATCCCCAAATTTGAAAACCAAGCCTCCTATTTTGTCTTGGTCTCGGCTCCCTCTTCCATATTGGTCTTGACTCCCACCATAAGTTATTTTTGTATTAATTTTGGTTTTGTTTAATATATACTGTTTGATTGATTATGCTTTTGTGCGGCTTTCATGCAGTTGTTCGATGTCTTTTGTGTATGTTCATTCTCCTTCCTAAAAAACAAGGCCTACACTCTTCCTTCAACCCTATACTTTCTCATATATTCTCCCTTTGACATGTACAATCAAGAATTTAACTACTTAATACAAATAAGGGTGTCAGTATAAAGTCTTATTGAATAACTGTGTGCTTTTATGGTTTAGAGTTTAGACTCTCACCACTATAGAAACAAGAAGACCCAAAACTAAAGCTAACTTATGAAAATTTTGGGTTATGATCTTTAGAATCTAGAAGAAGTTCAAGGGCTTGCACCACATGGGAGGAGAGGAGAATAGAAGCACAAGTTGCATGCAAATATCGATATATATAAGTCTTTGAATAGAAAATTAAACCAAGCTTATAACTTTTTTGGAGATTACTCTTGTTTCTTTACAATAGATAATCATTTGCCTACTCTTATTACAATATAATTGTCTAGTGAGCTAGAAGTGTTGTTGTGTATATATAGTGGTATCTTAGATGCTTATGAGAAGTATACTCATGAATATATACATCAAACTTTTATCTGCAAATCAGGTTATATTTATCAAGCTGTTGCCATTTTAGAGGTAGGATATTTAAGTGTATTTTTTATAACTAGTTTGTGCATATAGCATAATAGGTCTTCAGAAACCAATACTTTAAAGACCTTAAAAAAAACTAATACTTTATGGTTGCTCTATTAGGCAATCTAGGTTGTTTTGACCTTTGTTTTTTTGGAGGTGCGGGTTATATTCCTCATTCACAAGAGGTTGGGGCTGTTATTAGGACTAATTGCT